CAAAAAAGTAAACCAGAACACTTTTATAATGTCTGTGTGTTGTTCTACACAAAAAGAGGTTCTGGTGTAGAACTACTGGACCCACTAACACACATGCTGTCCAGTCCTGTCTCTAGTGTGAGATCCAGCCCCATGGACCTTTTTTCTGAAGCTGTGGGCATTAATCCAAAGTCTAGGGAGTCAGCTACTGAACACATTTGAATCAGTGACCAGGATGTAAAGCAAATACCACGTACAAACAAACCAGACAGCCACAACTGTCACATATTTCATTTCCATGCAGTACATATTTATCCAGGGCACACACCGCCAACTCTCCAAGCATCTCTCTCCTTTCTCAATGAGGAAACACTACCAGAGGTTATCTGAGGCAGAGGACTCCTCTCCTCCCCTGCGTTCTCCTCCTGCCCTCTACCCCTCCAATACTCTGTGCCAAATGGTACATTTACATTGGCCATAACCTCAATCACCATGTATCCGGGCTCTGCTGAAACATGCAGGCAGGCGTTGCTACAGTGTACAGTATAATGGGAGCAACAGATAGAAACCCACGCCCGGGGCATCCATCAAACCAAACGACTCCATTACAGTAAGTCCGACAGAGGCAAACAGTAACGCTGGCTGTGATAAACACTGGGATAATAGTCTGTTTATAGTCCTGGACACACGGCTTCTGCTGGGAAACACTAGCAAAGCACACAGATAAGATACAAGAGCGGCAACTGCTCTATCTCTGTACTTTCTATCTCTTTTCCTTCCTCTCCTCTGCTGTTATCAGTCACTTTCACCACCCCCACCCTCACCTCTATCCCCACCCCACGTTCCCTCTATTCTTTTCAGCTCCCTCCGTATAATATTTTCCTTGCTGCAGAACACAGAGGGAGCTGCATACATCAGCTAACCGGAGCCTTTCTCTGGTCTTACTCTATTGTAGCATTATCTTCATTGTGCGTGGAATAAGGCCTGGGAGAACCATGAAGATGAAATAAAAATGATTCAGATGTGCCGCTGCAATTCCGATGTATCACATTCAATACGTGTGGGCATGTATTTAAAACTCATAGGAATACAACAACGGGGCTGCAACGTGGAGAAGGCATTTGTGCAGTCGGCTCAAAGCAAAAAACTCACCAGTCACTGTAGCCTGTGGCGCATGTTGACTTCAATGTATGACGATGAGTGCCAGGTAGTAATAGTCAAGATTTGATAGTATTCTGATTACTTTGTAACTTTGTACTGTGTACAATTTTTTAACCCAATATAGCACATACATGCATATTAGGTCATATACTGTAGGAGACTTTTCTTTGACCTTACGTGTGGATTGTTTGTGCACTTCTACAAATACTGTTATATTAACAAAAAACAAATCTGTAATATTTAAGTCAAATGTCTAAAACATCTTTATTGTTTCTACTGACTATTGTCTTTACTTCTAGATCATCAGCTCAGTTCTATACTTTGTCTGCAGATATTTCTCCAGACTGTTGACGAAACAACACCAGCAGACAGCGACTAAACTCTTTGCCATCTTGCAGTACGTGCACCCCTTGATGTAATCACTAGTTATATCTGGTTATGGTTTTAGCTGACACACTGCGTGCAGCATCCCTGATGGAGGAAAAGCGGTAAAGACAAGTGTAAATGAATGTGACCAGGCTGGGTATTCCTCCGAGGGACGTGGAAATCTGCTGCTGCTGCTATGAATCAATTAGATGAGTACACAAAAAAGCACTCTCCTTACAGATGGGAGGTTCAGACTAAGGTCTATGAATGGAGGAGCAAGAGAATACAAAGACTTCCCATCTGTTGATAATGATGTTTTTATTCTCACAACACACCCCCATCAGGAGAGCCTGTATCCCTGTGTCCACAGACTCAGAATGAGATAGGAACATTTAAACAGGGCTCTGAATAAACAGCAGATAACACTAAACTAGCCAGGTTTTTTTCCTTCCTTGTATCTTTTACACTTCAATTAACCCACAGAGTACCGGTGCTTGATTAAGGTGCTGCTAGATCTGCCTGATCGTGGGCCAGTCACTGTTTATTCCCATAGTTAACCTCTATTACACCATTGACCCCTGTTTTACCCAGTGTCTTCTTTACTGCTTTAAACAGAGGCTATTACATAGAGCGGAAGTGAGGATGAATGCACAGTTTACAGGACAGCAGGGTCAAAGCAAAGGCCACTCTCTATAG